GAGAGAATGCTACTGTATTTCGCATGTAGCTTTCCATAATTTGAACGATTATTTCATCATTTAGTCTCTACTGCCGTTGCAATATCCGTATTATTATCTTAATCTGCGAGTAATAGGCTTCTTGACGGTGGTACAGTACCTCCCTGTCAGATCATCAAAGGTTGCAGAGCACAGAGTGAAGCTATATTCCGAAAAGTCTACGCAGGATTCTACATCTTCTCACACACATACGACCTCGATCAAACGATATCCCGTAAAATCGAACTTCGTTCAACGAACTCATGGCATTTTTCCTTGATAGGCTACAACTTGCCTTTCCTGAAGACTGTTAGTTGCCGACAATACTATTTGGTACACAATCTTGGGTGAATCAGCGATTGGGGTACGGAAGATCGGATCATCATGCGGGAATTTCTGGGCGATGGTATTATACGCTTTCCGTGCGACTACCTTGTGACAAGATTACGAGTGAACTGTGGAGCGTCGTATTCCGAAAATTTGTCTGTTTATCTAAAATTTACGCTGGTCGGAACCTGTCATCGAAGATCTTTTAAGCCGTGGCTGTAGCAAGCGTGCCGACCGTCGAAGGGATGGAAAGGTGTGAGAATCCACTGCGGGGGTTGATCCTTAGGTAGCGGATCGAGGCGACCGGTGGACACCGTCTTCCACGCCATATCTCATCAACTGCCCCTCAAGAAAATAAAGAATCCGGAGATTTGATGCTACTTCCATGGTACTCCGGAGGTGGCAAACATTTCTTGCTCGGCGGTCGCGGCAAAGATGCCTGACAACGTGCTCCTTCCCGTTCCGGGCTGCCAGCTCCAGGGCTGAGTCTCCATATCGATTAGTACCCGTGACGTCGAGTCGATCGTCTTTGAGCAATAGCTCCACAATATCCAGATACCCGTAAAAGACAGCCCTGTGCAGTGCAGTGTCCCCACGAGAGGTCTTGGCGTTAACATCCAGTCGAGACCCTTGTTCGAGAAACAGCTTATCCACATCACGGTAGCCGTTTTCGATCGCGACGAAAAGAGGAGACCTGTGCCAGAATGTCCGATTGATATCGACCTCTCACAGGAGACAAGTCGGCGGACAACTTCCAGATGCCCCTTCCCGGCAGCAAGATAAATGGGGGTGCGCGCGATACATTCAAATCTATATCGATCCTAGTAAGGAGGAGCTCCAACATCCGCAGATCGCCTTGACCTGCTGCATATCGTTGAATCAACTTGATCGTGGGTGCACTTAAAGTTCAATAAACAGTGAACTCCACCGTTGGACGTTACAACTGTGCGCTGCTAGGCACGACACAGGCTGTATTATGAAGGGTTGTACGGTCTATTTAACACACTCGTGAGTCAGGTTTCCATCCAGCAACCAATCGACCGCCATGAGTTCTCCGAAACGACCTTTGTCTTCTCCCACTTCGCAGTCCCCCAAAAGACAACACGTTGATGCAAGTGCAGATGGGGAGACGCAGAAGGGATCACACAATCGGGCGCCTGGAAAAATCACTTCTGCTGGCGAAAACCAGGTCAAAGAGCCACCCAAACTTTGAAATAGCAATGCTAATCAGAGTGGAAACAGCGTCCTACTACTTCAGCAAGCCTCTCGTCAGAGTTTGAATATATTCTACGTCATCACATCTCCCTCGCAGCTCCCACCGTCAGCCTTCTCGACTGGTACCTCCGCTTATGGAATTGTTATGTCGTCGATTCTGCATTGAAGATACGGCTCGAAGAAGAGCAGGGTCAGCTTCAGCGGTCAATTGTATGGCTGACCGCGGAATGCGATGCATTACTCCAGTGCTGCAATGATCAGGCTCTAGAGCTATTCGGCCGCCGTCAAGCCGCGGCTGCCCTCAATGATGGGATTGTCGAAGTTTTGAAGGCAAGCGAGAAACGCGCTTATAAAATGATCGAGTTGAACTAGTCTTGAAACCACGATGCAATGGGGTACCAGCCGAGTTGGATGCTTAATTCCTGATCCACTATGTATTCATCTGCTTTACTACCTTTGTTTCGTAGGAATGATAATTTTGGGATTATCCACATCACCGTGCCTGGGTATGTGCGCAAGTTCTCACCTACCAAGGCGATGGCTTCAGAATAAATGCGGCTCAACCCTCACCCTCCATCCTTTGACTGCACTCAAAGTCCAGCGGAAAGAGAACTGGAACGGCTGTTAGAATGATATTCATTTGGCTTGCGGGGAAATATACTAGGAATTGGTATCATTGTATAATTGTGATTCTTTCCACCCTGCGGTACAGGATGGCTGACCACACTTGGCTTCATCCTCGCGGCACTATGCCGACGAATCCCCAGTCACTTTTCGTCTTCTTGGCAACAATAAGGATAGCTACTTTGTTCTGTGCTTGCCAACCGAGCACAAACTGCTCCCTTGCGTCGAGGGGAAGCGAGAATGTTAATGAGTCATTGAATCCTGGCCATCTCTTTCAATTTCCCCAAATACATCCGGCCATCCAATGTGTATTGTACCCACCATTGATTCACAAGCTCTTCTTTATTCACTGAGCTTTGACTCGAGACCATCAGAGTAGCGATTCCATTCCTTGAGTATATCAGTCAATCGAAGTCGAGATGACTCCAACGCCTGGTCAAAAAATCGCAACCGCGCAATTTGGTCATCGTGGCATGACTGCATTCTGTTCTTCTCGTCCAACAGCTTTCGGTGAGTCTCCTTGAGGGCGTCATTTGCTTTGGCCAACTTGTTTCCCTCCATATGCTTTGCTATGCATGACTCCCACAGGCGCCGATACAGTCCCACGATCCTTGCGGCTTGGAACGCAAGCTTCGGGTCTTCATGTTCGAGCCGCGCAAGAGCCTCCATGGCAGGTGCGAATGGCTGGTCCCCCAAGGAAGGTCTCTCAGGGTTTCCGGGCTATTGACCACAGGTCAGCTAATCCTTATTCATGCTTGTGCTTGTCCTACTCACGATTGCCGGACCGGAAGGTGGATCGGCTTCAATCTGCGGGTGCTCTGTGATGTGAGGGATAGCTTCGCCGATGGGAGAATGGCCACTTCCGGGCTGAATCTCCGGGTGTTCTTCGACAGGATTGGTATTGGAGGTGTCCATGCTGACTCGTGTGTCTCGTGTGTGATCCAGGATGGTGCTTGCGATGCTGCATGATGTTGCAAAAGTTATATCTTTTCCAATGTGCGTTCCAGAGAACCAAGATGAACAACTCAAAACAGTGATTGCGGTTTTCGAACGTTGAATCAACGGACCAGTTCCCCAGTGAAACCATCTTCCCTCTTAACTAATGCACCTACTATACGGCTGGTTGAATCAACCTTGTTCCCGGTTCAAGGCTCTTAGAAAGCGGATCGGCTTGGAATATCTACACCGTATAGCGTTCTCTAATCTGACGCCTTCCTAGCTACGTTCGGTACCTTATCTGGCTGGCTTGCCTTCATGTATATCTCCCAGTCTGCTCGAGGCCCCCACGTTCGTTTTTGCGGAGGCTTTCAATCTTCCCATCTGCTGCATGCACCTGCAACTTGACCAAACATCCTCGTCGATGGATTATTGTGGACACTACGATAATGGTAAGTAATTACGGTCTCCTCTGCACAGATGGTTGGTTGAAGCAAATCACTAAGCTACGCAGAGTGTCACCTTTCCTGCATTCCGCAAGACTCCTCCTATCAATGGCCTGGCTTTGAGGTCAATTATAAGGAATTCCCAGTAGACTGGGGTGATTTGCAAAATTCCACCTGGCCCGATACCGAATATCCTTCTTATGGGTCTGCCCAGCAAAATCGAGTTAATAGTATGGACTGGTTTCAGGGCGGGTCGGTATTCGAGTCTGAGGTCGAGTTCATCGCAAGGAATCCCACTGTCGAGCCGTACAGTGGAACTGGGTTGATTAAAAGTGAAAAGACGTCTGCCAAAACAGCCAATGGTGGTTGGAGGAGGACGTCCTGGCAAGACTTTGAAGAATTCACGCGCCTCGTCTGCGGCGATGACGAACGCTCCATCTACACCCATAACAGCATGCCCGGGCCGTTTCGCCGGCGGCAATTCAAATGCACCGTTGCAAGGTGCAGCAGTCGCTTTCGATATCCTAACGGCCTACAGCGTCATCTGTCCAGCCACCTGGCTGAAAGGTCATACGTCTGCTGGGTTCCGGAGTGCCAGCGCCACTTCACCCGTCGCGACAACCTCGAAGCCCATTATGCCACCCATGGGAGACCGGGCGGCCGTAATCGCCACGTGGCTACTCTGGATCAGAGTAACTCGGCCTACAATCCTGGTTTCCGTGGACTGCTGACGTCCGATGGGTGGCCAGTCACGGAGGAAAACGCAGGCTCGTCCGGTGTGTAAATTAGAACTGGCTTGAAGGGCACACGGCGATCGCAAAGGTACAAAGGATGTGGGATCATTGGAGACAATGCGCTCCATCCGCGACGCGAGCCTCTCTTGGGCGAACCTTGTTTATGCCGACATGCTAAGTCATTATTACAATGACACGGGCGGAAGCTGTCGACTGAATTTTGACCAACGTTTGGAAAGAACGATACCCGGAGGATTCGAACGCATGACCTCGAAGCTAAGGTTGAGGAAGTACCACTCGGCCAAAAAGCAAGCGATAATAATCGTCATATACCACGTAATCTAGGGTCCAACTTTCATAGTTTCTTTACCAAACTTGGTCAAAATACGAATCCGTACTTTGCCTAGTGGGCTGTGGATTATAATCCAACTTTCATTGCGAAGGGTCAGCGTAAATGGCATCAACCAGTCAAATAGGGATTGTTTAAGCATAGTATATGTCAATGCTATCTGCGAGCTGACAAAAGACAAGATTGGAATGAAATAAGAAAGGTGGTCATCCAGCCGCCGCCAGCTGGAAAGCCGTAACAGCCTGGAATATCAGACTAGCTTGACAAGAAAGGATGAGAATCTCCAAACAATCCCCAGCGCAGTCCGTAAAAGCCATTTATCGTTTCAGACCCAGAGTGCTAACACTTCAATCACGCGATGGTAATGACATACTCGCCAGTTGTCAACTGAGCGTTGGATCCGCTGAACGGCTCGGTTCCAGCGGCAATTCCGCTCACATACTGGGAAGAGGGCAAACCCTGGTTATGAATCAAATATTCGAAGAAGTCGAGAATGTCGGCATTGAATGAAGTCTGCTCGCCGTGAGCGACGAAGCTGAAAACAGTAGTGGGTCCATTCGGGCCCTTGAAGAGATCCCACGAAATGCCAGCGATCGTGACCGTAGCGATTGGTGAACCCGTGCTGCTAATTGGACCCGCTCCACCAATGGCAGCAACCCAGATCATGATCTCGTATGCCGAAGAGCCGCCGGGAGAGTAGCTGGTGAATATATCATAAGAAACATCGGCGATGATATTTGAGCCAGAGTAACTATTAACGCAAAGCGCAAGCACATCAGCCACTACCTCCACTAGTCACGAACTCAAAGGGCATATATAAAAGTCTCTCACCGAGCTGAAGTCTCTTACCTCCAATGCCAAGTGGTTGGGATATGTTGAATGGAACTCAGTTGCCTTGCGTTGAAATTGAAACCAACATTTGCGTAAGACTTCACGCTTCCTGGGCCTCCTTGCCAGTCCCAGCTGGTGTGCCAGGAGACTATATCTCCACCCTGGTAATCCAGGCCAGTGCACTGCCATCCAGATGTAGCACTGGACTTACCCCAGAGGTTCTGGTAAATGGTATAAGGTCCCGCTGAGATCGTGTCCCACTGCCCACATGAGTCCCGCTTAGTGAGTTCAGATGAACTGACTAGACAGGCTAAGCCCCCAAGTAGCAAGGTCGGAATAGACAGAAAGGATCGCATTGTTCTTGTGTGAGACAAGAAATAAGAAGGTGGGAAAAAGAATTCACAGCCTAGGATGCAAGAGCTGATTGATATGTTGAGGACCAGCCCTTAATAGGAGAGAAGTCATCCAGGGAGGGCCTCACGACTTTATGTCTCCACATGTATCCTCCTAGCAAGTTGACTTGTATGACCTTCCACTGGATTCCAGACTGTTGCAACTCCGAGATGAATCGCCGATCCCTTCCCCACATCAGTGTTTTTTGCCTAAACCGGACAGCCCTCCGTGCTTCATAGGATGAGAAAAAGACTGATACTGTAGTATACTCGAAACAGAAATGTCTCACTTTGCCAAATTCGCCCCATCTACGAAGAAAATGAGCGGGTAAATGACTTAGCCACTCGTTTCGCAATGACTTAACGAACTAACTAATGCCTCAACGCCTCGGAGACATTCGAGTGTCTACCAAAACCCATCATCTGCCTAATGAAGCATAAACGCCGTTCATCTCTTGGTGCTGCAGCCTCTGGAAGCAATTGCCTCTCGGCCGCGTTATTCAGTTTGGCCTCCTGGAGATCGCATGTCTGGCTAACTCCAATTTAAAACATCGTCTTCTCTTGAACCAGCACAGCAGTCTTCTCGCTTTTGGTGGGGTTCCCCACTCTAGCATGAGCACTTGGATGTTTTGAACTACCCAGGAATATTACAACCTTCCCACACCGGGTGTTGGAAAACGAGATCTCTGAAGTTAGCAGGGTATTTAGTCAACGATGGAAATAATCTTATTCGGTGATCCCCAGCGAGATACGTTTCAGGCTTTCAGGCTTCAGTAACTCTCAGTAACTCAACTTCCCATCCATCAGTCTCATGACCACTCCACCAATGGGACTTTACCCATAATTTTGGGTATGATCTACGTGCCTTGGAAGCCTGCACCACGAATACTGTGGGGTATTTCTTTGAAGAATAACTCCATGGGCCTTCTTGAGCTATTTCCCTGTTTAAGAAGTATATCGGCAAGGAGGGTTTGTTCAGCTCCCACGAAATTGTCGAATAGAAAACCAAGATTCATTGTTCTATCATTCTGTGGCAAAACTGTACAATGTGCTTGATCGGGGCTCGCTGTCAATAGCTACGGCATTTCCCATATCTTGCTGTCTTTGGTCCCCAACGTTACGAAACTTAACTCCAAAATCTTTTAAGGAAGCTATGACAAGGGCCTGGCCTTTGGGAAAGAGTGCATCCCGCAGCGAATACTGAGATAAAAGAATGGAGAAGGGAGAGAAGAGAGAAGAAAGTACTGGACTTGCGATTCTTGCCTTCATGACCCTCAGTCTCTGACAATCAGGTCGCTTAAAGCCAGCTGGCCTATACAGAACAGGGCGGAGGGACATCAAATTATTGACTTAGTATCTCAGCATGTGTCGAAACTCAGTTGTGAAATTCATGCAGAGACATAAATGTACTCACGTTGAAGCTGTTTTGCATCTACACTGCCTGGCCACGAGATTCCCGAAAGTTCCACAGTGCATTAGCGCCACACTATCGTAAAATTTGAGATTTAACCATTTTAACAGGATATCTTATTAGCACTCGAGTGAGCTAAGATTCAGATGGTAATTGGATTAAATATGCATAAAAAGACGCTCGTGAAAACGTTCAGGGATCTCGTGGCCAGGCAGTGTACGTCTATCATGATGGAATTTAGGAGCAAATAGACCCGCACCATCAGCCAATAGGCGTTCGAAGAGCTCCGACTTGGGGAGGGTGGAAGGTCTACACTGGGATTAATGCTACAGTTGAGTTCGGCCTCATCCGCACTAACTGGTTAAATGATATTTGCTGACTGAGCCACGGCCCCAACACATTGGTGACAGTACAGCCTGAGGCGTAAGAGTTCCCGTCGGTGTAGGCACTATGGAGATTATCCGCTTTGATGGCAATTGAGCGGGCGATCCTCCCAACCCTATTCCGTATTTACCCCAGGATCCTCCCATCCCTATTCGTATTTGCCCCGCGAATCTTATGCATGCTCGAAAGCTAGTTGATGACTTATGACACAATCGTTATAGATCCGGCGAAGAACAATCAAAACAACCTTTTACCAACCGGAAAATTCTGCTAAATGAGAAAAGCGCTAGCGTGAATTAAACTCCGGGGAAATGGAGAAAAAGTGGGATTGTTTCAATTCTGTCCAACTCCTACCGGTATTGATCCAAGGAAAGTTGTAGCCCCAGGATATCAGTATGTGAGCATTCAGAGCAACGGGGGTTACTGATGCTTGCTCATACCGCTCCGCACGAATCGAATCGAATCGAACTTTTGCCTGATTCGATTCGATTCGAATTATTATTGAACAGATCTGTTGAATATCACAGCGGCTGAAGCTTATGGCGGGGATTACGATCGGATATATAAGGATGGGCTACCCCTCTTCTGTAAATACGTCAATTAACAAGAATCAGACAACACACTTATCTCAACAGGTTATGAGCCCGAGGGCGTAACCCTCGGACGCGCGGTTAGGCAGCAGAGATTCAAAACAGACAACCCTTTGACTGCCATTCTACAGCTAAGCTTCCCTATGAAGTGAAATCTTCATTAACTCAAGGATCTGACTATATTGATTCAGTAACATGGTGAAAAACGGTCGAAGTCCAGAGTTCAAAACCTCTAGGGGAATGAAGAGAACTGACCTCCTCCCGAGTCCCGATACGTATCACTATCACAAGATCACTATCACTATCACTGTTACACCATCACAGAGACTTGTTACACTGTCACAGAGGCTTGTTACACCATCACAGAGACTTGTTACACTGTCACAGAGGCTTGTTACACTGTCACAGAGACCTGTTACACTATCATAGAGACTTGTTACACTATCACAGAGACTGTCACAGGATATCACGCCGCTGTCCTATATGATTTGATGACCGAAATCCAACTAAGACAACATCACAAGCGGGACAGGTTGGATCCTGGCTATATATATCACCCTCCTTTCAACACTATTAAAGCAAGAAGAAGGATGACAAGGCCAAAGCCACAATACTATCGGTGGACGGATGAAGAAATCAATTTAATTACGTACTACCGCGCCCCCGTCTAACGCTTGAGGAACAGGGATACCGTGCGTCGATTGTTGCTAATTCAATCGCCGCTTCTCGTGTTACTTCTCGAAACAAGGACTCTACGTTAAGGCGTGAAGAGGACGACCGACTTCCTGCACTTATCGACAGGATAAAACGGTACAACCTTTAGCTAAACAGGTGTCAAAGTTTTTTGGACAGCCAGTCACGACTCTCGATCGACCGTTCTCGTTTTCCTTAATTCTTCAAGTTATATAAAAACCACTTGAAGTTAGATAGCGTACCAGACAAAGACTACGTTCCTCTATCCTACTCGCCTACGCTAGATCTATCTAACCGAAGTCCTTCTATCGTCTCGAGCCTGCTTAGTACCGTATTAAGCCTAGAACTCTTTAGTTTAGAAGCGCGTTCCCTAAGCCCCTTAGACCGCGACCTATAGTTACTTCCAGCCCGGTCAACGACGGACCAAGTCCAGAATTCCTTAGCTTAGAGGATCCTCTATCTACGCTATGACTGACATCGCAAAATTTGAGCAGTTTGGATTAAATGCATTCTACAATAGTATCCTAATACTAGATAATACTAGTGACTGGTTTAAGTGGAATTAGAAGGTCAATAAGTTCATTCGGATATCCGCCGTTGCCGACGATAGAACGACTCTACCGATAGAAGACGATAAAGCACGGTAATAGACCTATCGCTAAAAGTTCTACTCTGCGATAATCACGGCAAAGATAACACACAATACAGCACAAAGGATCAACGTATTTGAGATCTCTTGAGTCTAGACACTCTTAAAGGTAGTTAAAGACAACTTCAAACTAGAAGGCACTAGCATATACGTTAACCTCTAGCAACGGTATATGGCCCTCACAAGAGAGAAATATAGAAGCGCCTAAGCCCTCGGAGCCGAGATCAGGAAGATCTATACCGAGAAACTTCTCCTTAACCCTAACTGCGTAACCTCCGAGATTAAGCGAACATTCTTTTTCGTACACGCATTAGGTCCCGAGTATAAAAGCTTCCGTGATTATATATTTCGGCAAATAGATCTTATTAATAAAAGAGATGCTAATAGTAATATCACGAAAGCGGCGCCCACGTTCGACTATATCGAGAACAAGGCAATTAAGGAAGAACATAGGAAGGGGTAATTGAGCAAATAACCAACCGAGGCGCAAGCACTTCCTGCTCTCGCTATAATCCGAGGGCTAGGTGACAAGAAAGTCATACCGTTATCCGACGGAACGATATACCGAATCGAGATCGATAACGTCCCATATTGCTCCTTATACCGCAGACCCTATCACATAGACTCTAAGTACTTCAGCAAGAATCTAAGACCGAAGGATCAGAAGAAAGACGGAAAGAGCCACAAGTCAAAGCTAGGCAATTCACATACAGGCGCACGCAAACCGTCGAAGCGGCGGCCCTCCACGGATAACGAAGATAATAATATCGGTAGCCTAAGGGATCCAAAGAAGCCCACCTTCATAGCGACAAAAGTCCCCGGAGAAGATGTTAATCAAGCATTCGGAAAGGATATTAAAGGCAACTTCGCCTTGTTCGACCACATCCCCACAATAATAGCTACCAAAACCTTGTCGATCCGTGACGCGTGGATCGTCGATAGTGGATATACTCAGCACGTCTGCAATAACGCCTCGAGATTTGTAAAGATAGACAAGTACCATAGACCACCACTAAGAAGCGTCGATACCTCCACGACTCCCTCGGGAGTAGGAACAGTTAATGTTCTGTGTAATATACGAGGCAGAAGGAAATGGCTTATGCTTGATAATGTCCTCTACGTCCTATCTGCATACGCAAACCTTATATCGGTGCTCTAGCTTCTCAACCGAGGAGCAAAAGTCGAATTCTCAAGTCAAAACGCTAGTATTCGCAACAAGTCAAACGGAAAGAACCTA